CGACGACTACGACGACGACGGCGACTACGACGACGACGGCGACTACGACCACCACCACCACCACCACGACGACGACGACGACTACTACTACGACTACCACTACCACTACCACCACCGCCACCACCACCACTACTACTACTACTACCACCACCACCACCACCACCACCACTACTACTACTACTTCTCCTGCTGCTGCTACTACTACTACTACAACAACAACTACTACTACTACTACTACTACTTCTCCTGCTACTACTACTACTACTACTTCTCCTGCTGCTGCTGCTGCTACTACTACTACTACAACTACTACTACAACTACAACTACAACTACTACTACTACTACTACTTCTCCTGCTACTGCTACTGCTACTACTACTACTACTACTACTACTACTACTGCTCATGCTCCCGCTCCCACTCTCACTCCTGCCGCGGCTTCGAACAGTCATCACCACCTCGGAATCCTTATCCTCATCATGGTTCCCGTCATCGTCGTCCTTTTCGTCCTCACAAGAATTCGCACGCAGGCGTTTCCTCCTCGGATGCCCGGCGCCCAGCCTGGTCGCCGGTGGCTTGGCACCCAGCTGTGCTGAGGCCCGGGCTTTTGTGGATGAGCCTGTCCTGGCGGCAGACCTTGAACGTAAGTGTCTGGTGATCTTCCAGAGCCGGTGAACGTATCAGCCGACCACAGGGCAGCTTCATCCCGGAAGGGTCCACCTGCACTGCGAGCTGCGAGGACGGGAGACGGGATCCCCTTCTTATAGTGTTTCAGCTGAAACGCTTTGAGATGACGGCTTGATGTAGACTCGCCCCCACCCAAGACAACCTGGAAGACTGGGTGCCTTACTGAGACCAAGCTATGTCCGCTGAGCTTGCCTATCCAAAAAGGAGATGAGAAAGGGGCCGGGCCCAGCAGGCAACTCCTTCGGTCAGGGGTCACCCTACACAGCTACATGGATATGGTTCAAGCTCTGCTTGGCTCCACTTTGAGAATCCCTGTCAGCGAGCCGAGCCCATGCCATGCCGCCCTGCTCTCGAGCTCGCTGTCGCCATTGCGGCATGAACGTCGGAATATTTGGGTTGAAGGGCTTCGGCTGGAGCCTCCGGCAACACGAAGCCAGCTGTGCTGCAACTTCAGCCCCAACCACGGTCGAGACAACCACCGTGGAGACAGGAAGCAGCGGAGACTTTGGCATCGCGCGTGGACGTTGCAGTCGACGTCTCATCTCTTGGCGAAGAAAGCTCAATCATTTTGGTCACTTTCCGAAGGATGAGCTGAAGAAGTTATGCGAAGCCGACATCGAGACGGCCAACAAGGTCATGCACCTCGGCCTGTTCACATGGAGGCCAGGGTCGAGTGACGCGGGCCCGCTATGTTTGGCGCTGGGGATAGGTCCCGGCGATCCTGGTGAAATAATCCTCAAAGCACGGCCGGGCAGGCTGCTACGACGGGCGCCCTGCCTCCTTCCCAAGGAGCTCCCACCGGAGGAGCACATGGATACACATTCCATGGTCAACTTTAATGAGGACTTTCGCGACATCGCGGTGCGGCGACACACAGCTACAGCAGCTAACGCAAGGCCTGGCGGCCAATTTGATGGCAGGCCATGGTGGCGGTTAAGCTGATGTGGCCGTGAAGGCCATAATCAATTTTGATTGATTGCCTTAATGCCACGAACAATTCCTTCTGTCGGCTCTTTTGTTCGGTGACTTGCTGAGGTCATCGCGGAAAATGTAATGCTGCTGCTGTTCAAAACAGCGTTTCGCCATCTAACCTGCAACTGGCAGGAGCAACAGCACTGAGGCCTCGCCTGTCCGCCGAGCACGAATGCTAAACAAATCCTTCTGCTGGGATAGGGCCACTCACTCCACCGGTTCGAGTTCTTGCAGCTACCTATTCAGGGGAGTGCGGGTCTGGCTGGCGATTAACCGCTTAACCTGTGGAGTTGGTGGCCAAGGTTTGGATGTGTCGATGGTTGAAGGTTCTGGACTGTTAGGTGAATATTTGTGCAGGTTGAAGGCTGTGGAGTGTCTCGGGCCTTTAGGCACATGCCCGCTACAGCGATCGGATTGTTCGTGTGTCTCCAGCAAAATCTGGGCCACGCCTCCGCCTCTCGAGCCTAAGCTTTGGAAGCTCCGACCCGCAGGAAGCGTTTGTGCCAGAGCCGGCGCAGCTGCGCTGCACTCGGCAGGTGGGCGCTGCGAAGTTCAGATGAGTGGCGGATCGCACAATACAATCTCAGCTAGGCGGTGATGCATTGCGGCAGTGGCTGCTAGAGCCACGGTAACTTCATTTTGGTGCGTGAGAATCTTTTCGGTGACGAGCAATGGAAAGGGTTCTGCACCTGACCAGATAGATGGTATCGGAACAGACCTTGTGTTGCTGGAAGCACTCGTCTGGCCGTAGAGGTACTCACATGTTTGGCCGCACCAGCACGGCATTCATGGCATTTTTATCATTTGTGCCAGGCCTTGTCGCCACAGAGCTTCGAGTGTCTGCAGGGCTGCCAGCTGGCAGGGTTGACACCACGAGGTAGGGCTTGCTGCGAGGCACTGAGGTCTCTTCTTTGCAACCGTACTGAGTGCTCGAAGGTGGAAGTTGCCTGGAGGGGACCGCGGTGAAGCACGGTCAGGGCTGCACGGCTCAGTGTGCTGTCCCTCGTCTCAAGCATGCAAGACGCAGCCTTCAGCAAACGCTGAAGCAGTCAGGTGTCGATAGCCTCTGTCCCCATCCCCATTTCTTGGGCATTGATCTAGGCGCCGAACAACCCCTTCCTATCCCCCTTTCCTCAAAATGCTCTCTAGGTTAAGAAACTGCAAGTTATCCCGAGAAAACAATTCATTTCTAAGCTTCAGTCTCGAAAATCCTGGGTGGCTACGGCTCAAGACGTTCTTCTGCTCCTGTCCCCTGTCCCGCCACAGGGGGTAGAGTGTCCCGCGCTGCTGGCGAGAATCTCGAAGCTAAGTCAGGACCGAAGAAGTGATGCCCAAGAAGGAGATGCAGAATACGAAAAAGGTGGAGGTCAACGAGCGGACTTGTCTCGCACAGATCGTCGCAAAGATCGCGGCCGCACGGGAACCATCCGAACGACCAAAATGACAATGACAAAGGCGGCGTGGCTCACCTGCTCCTGCAGATTTGCAATGCCGAGGCCCTACTACATGCCCACGCCGAGGCTTCGTATCGTGGACACGAAGAGTGAGTGCCGAGCCCACGCCGAAGCTCCTGGGTTCGAAATGCCACAATCGCTATGAGAAGTACTCGAAGAATCTCGAAGGCAAAGGCTGTGGCTCAGAGCCTGGCGTTGGATCCCTATTTCAAGGTGCTGGGCGGCCATATCCGGGAGGAGCCGGTTGACAGGAGCGCGGTCGAGCACGATGCGAAGCTGACAGATGTCGACAAAGCCGTCAGGCACTGGTTCATGCGGGAGTTTTGCAGACGGTGCAGCCTCGAGAAGCGGCAATTATTGTACTTGGGGAAGGGGTTCAACGAATCCGTAGATGAGCCTTTTGGTTGCCAAGATAAAAGCTGTTGCCAACTGCACGGCGGGGCAGATCATGGCTCAAGTGGAGAAGGAGAATTGTGCAATCAGCAATAATGCACACTGGGCTTGCTCAAGGATCCAAGTGGAAAGCTGATCGCGACAAACCCGGCCAGAGCGTACCCAAACGTGGCGAAGATCGTTGCGGTGGCTGCACGGCAAGCTCCCAAAGAGCCGAAGCACTTCAAATTCACCGGCCGAACTTGAACTGCAACTGTCCAGCACACCGGCACCGCGATGGCACCAACTTCGGCCCGTCGATGATAATGGCTTTCGGATCGTCCTCGTGAGCCGTGTTTCAGTTGAGCAGCGCCAGGTTGGAAAGTACCAAGGTGACCTTGTCGTTGGGAAGAGCTTCGAGATTCGTGGATGTGTCGTCGAATAGACAGTCGACTGCCGCACCGTGGCAATGATTGATTGCCATGTTCTGCACGAAACTTCCAAGGCCGAACTTGCAGAAAATGGGAAGCCTCTATAAACTCGTGCCAGGCCGCTAAGAGCTGCATTCCGGAGTGACATCAGATTCCCAATTGATCGCCTTGAGGCCGGCTACGCACCATCGGTGCCTTTCTTGGCATGCAGCCGAGGCAATCTTGAGCCATTCTTCTATAGTTATAGGATGATGCGAAGCAGTTTCAAGAGGCAGGGTGCAGGTAGGAGCTGCCGCGGGTCGTTGTCGGTTTGTTCGCTCGTTACACCCTGGCGAGTTGTTGTTGGTGCGTCTTTGTGATGATCCCTTATCAACCGGTACTGTAGGCCTGCTGACGCCCACGAGCTTCGATTGCCTGCGGGTGTGCAACGCCGTGATTGGCACCGTCCTCAGCTGGAGCCCTGAAGCGATCAAGGTTTAAAGCCGCCAGAAACATCCGGATGCTCAAGGCCTCGAGCTTCCGAAAGGGAACCTGTAGGACCAGGATTGGTGGAATCGTGCAGTTGGCTCGAATCTACAGAGATGTCCAGAGCCAGATGCATCCCCAATTAGGAACCCCTGGGGGCCCTCTTTCGCATCACTGCTGCATCTTGTGTCTTCAACCCATGTCAGCCCCAAGCTCCGAAGACCTGACAGGCACTGTGGCTCTCTACCCGTCGCTGTCCCCGGATTGGCCTGCTCCTGGGCCTTCTCAGCCCACTTGTCCCTGTTTGCTGATGGATCCTTGCTACGGCCGGCCAATGTAGACTGTTTGCTGAGTGGAGTCTATGTCGAGAACACATGAGGGCCCGGGGTCACCTTTGGCGCGTGTGGAAGTCCAGGCATTCAGGCTGAGAAGTCTCATGATAAAAGGAAGCAGCACTCAGCACATGCAAGGCTCTTTCGTTGCCATGAGCGCATCTTTACTTGTTGTCCGTGTTGTGAAAGGGTCTCAACGTCACTTGCCCAGGCACCCACCACTGGTGAGCCAGCCTGCGCTGAGGGTGCCATGATCGAGTCCGGGGGTCAGTGCCGAGCCATTTGCAGCAACTCGGCACCAAAGGGACTGGGATCTTAGGCCCAACAGCGCCTCAGCGCCCCATCGCCGAACTGCAACCTTCAGACCTGGAAGATTGTGTAGGGAGGCCGCCGAACCCTTTGTTAAGCACAGCCCATCGGCCTTGGAGTGTCGCATACATCCGCAGGCCTGGGCTACAAGCCAGACACGGAGCTGTTGGGATGCCAGGATGGAGAGCTGACGCCGAGCACCTTCACGTGTGCCTTCTCCACAATGAGAGTTTGTATGTTGGTAGATGTGAGTTTTTCTGCATGAAAATGCATTGACATGTGATGACATGGGTGGCTGTAGAGTAAGGGTTTACCTGACGCGGAAGTTGCGCTTGAAGCGGCATAAACCCCATGAGCTCGCTGCTTCCATGTTCGAGGCGAGGTTGTTCGGCCATGCTTTCTCGCCTCGGCACCAAACGGTGCGTCGCCACCATGCGCGGAAGGCAGTGTCTCCGGGGCCAGAACTCGACCCGGGATGTTTTGTCCGTGCAGGTTGCAAGTAGCTCCTCCAAGGCCATACGCCGGTAGGGTCTGCACACAGATTGAAAGGTCACCTGCTCGTATATATGCATTGCTTCCAGGCACCAAGACCGCCTTCAAGCGTCTTCCTCCCACGTGGCTCAGTCAGCTGGCTAGGCTTCACAGTGCAGCACAATGCCACCTGCACGGCCAGCTGCCTGCCGGGTTTCCTGCCAAGCTTCGAGGACAAGCACAGAGATTCCACCCGAACAGTTGAGGTTGCGCTTTGGGCTTAGCTGCTATCGGGTTGGTGCCTGCGTGTTTATCCTCAGAGGAGCTGCACTGCTGGGATGGCGTCCTGCACCTTGGCTACATCGGCCTGGGTCTCTGAATCCTACAAGGCCGTGAGCCCTGGAGTCCTGAGCCCTCGAGGCCCTGATTAAAAATACTGCAAGAAGGGAGAACCACGATGGATTTCTCCAGAGGCTTGGAGTGTCCTCGAACTTTTCCCGCTCACTCTGCGTCGGCCTTCAGGACCCCGCTCACCTTCACGTGTCTGCAGATGTGCACTGCTCCAGTTCCGCCCTCGGCTGGGTACTTTCTTCAAAGTGAGGCCTGAGGTCATCATGTTCATTCAAACTTTGGAATGGCATTTAATCTAGAATCTTATTCGGATTATGCGGTTCGAGGAACTTCAAGAAGATTTCCATGCCCCGAATTACACAGGCTGTCGCCCAACTGCCACTTCAAGTACTTCGGACTGGGCACCGTTGAGATCGTGACAATACATGAAAGGCCTGCTGTATTCCTCTACAGTAGATCCCGGCACGCTGATCCAAACACAATCTGTAGAGCAACATTGTGTTCTCATCTGCTGCCGAGATAGATTCTGGTGCAGAGTGACCAGGGCATGAACGGCTATCATGCCTAGCAGCGGAAGACGCACTACGACTTAGTACAAATTCGACATGACATATAAACGGCAACGGCCAACATCAACTGACCCAGCAGCATCAGCAACACTGTGGCATCTTATCACCATGATAGTCGCCTTGATCCTTCTCACTTCAAGGCTGTGGCGAATGCTCCGCAGCCGTGCCTGGAGGCGGGGTAAGACGTGTCATGTAAGGTAGGGTATGCAAAATTTCCCAGTGCACCAGTTATAAAGCATAAAGCTTTTTGTCTGGTGCAAGACGCACGAGCACTGCCGAGTAATAGGTTTGTTGCGCTGGAACCGTTCGGACGTTCCGGTGCACGAATGCGGTGCCTCGGGGAGTTACATGTGTGTACAACAAAGAGCAAGCAAGAGCAGCTGCGCAAAAATTCATAGGTGCTGTTGTAGCAAGTACCAATAGACTATTCAATTGACAATTGACAAGCCAAAGTGGCTTGCAGCCACAGCAATACAGGATGTATAGGAGACTGGCTATGTAGCACTTCCAACCTTAGGAAGGAGCCGGCTTGACTCTTCGTTTCTTGCGTGCTTCCATGTCCAGCTGCTGCAGTATAAGGCTAGGGCCTTAGAGCGCTCGGGGGCTGGGCCTATAAGGGGTTTAAGTTGTGGGCATTCAATCTTGCGGCTTTCTCATCTTCTTTCCAGGGGAACCTCCTGGCCCCGAGCTCGATCTGCACTGCTCAGTGTGCAGCATCTGGGAGTCGAATTGGCAGATTTTGGTTCTGAGTTTAGGGTTTAGGGGGAGTTGGGAAGCTGCTGATGCTCGGGTGCCGCCAATCGGGCCAAGAGTCTGGTAACCGGCCAGGAGGAAAAGCTTCCGACAGGCTGGCTCCCCTTGCATGACATTCCCCTGTCCATTGAAACCATGAGGGCCTATCTCTATTTCTGGTCTCCGTGTCTGTGCACTTGTGGCCGTCTCGACATCTGATCGCTCCAAGGCTGGCTTTGCTCCGTCGGTGACCACGCTGACATGCTCCGAGTCTGGCTCCGGACTGCCGACGGCTCAGCCTTCCGCTTCGGGCTTAGGCTTAACACTCTTCTCGTGGAGCCCGGCTGCTTGCGATTTTTTGGGCTGTGCGCTCGAATCGCCTTCTCTGTCCGAGGTTTACACCACTGGACTTCAGTTGCGGTCGCACTTGCGATGCACCCCGGATAGAAGGACACTGGGCTGGTCGCAGCAAGTATTTGCAGCATTTGTTTTTGGACTGGCGACACACCTTTATGGAGCTTTCTTCAGTGTCCAACCTACCACTTGTTTTGCACCCGTGAAGGACTTAATTAATTAGCGAAACTGAACCCTGGAGCAGATTCTTCCGCCGCTTCTCGTAAGAAGCTTTGTCGATGATTCATGACTGACTCGTTTGTAGTGACTCCACAACTAGTTCTCTTTCATTGCGTGCCAACCTCGGGCTCCACCCGGCCCATCCCCACCCTCTTCTAGGTATGCTTGTCAAGTCCTGGACACATACAGACGCACATGCTCGTAGGCTGATCATAGTTCGAATCATCATACACTATCTTGACAGTACCAGTATGGTTGCATGTTCAAACATCTAGAATTCAACTCCAATGCCCTCGACTCGCACTTGAACGCAACCGAGCAGGAGCCCTGTCACCGGCGTGTGAGCAGCTGCCACTAAGGCCACAGTACTTCGAGATTCATTGCATTAGTATGCTTGAATTTTAAATGCGAGTAGGCGTTACCTACCATTGGCGACTGTCGTTTGGGCACTGCCGCTGCAGTGATGATCATCATCACCACCACCATCATCATCATCGTCATCTTCATCATCATCATATTATTATTATTATTGTTATTATTATTCGTCTTATTCTTTTTTGAACATCAACATCAACATCACCACCATCATCATCGTCGTCATCATCATCGTCATCATCGTCAGCATCATCATCACATTCATCCTCATCTTTGTCGTCGTCATCATTTGCATACGTATCCGCATCCTCATCCTTATCATTACCGTCATCGTCATCGCCATCATCACTACTGTAACATCATCATCAGCAGCATCATCATCACAATCATCATCAACAACATCGTCATGCTATTTCTACGATGATTATATTTATTATTGCCATCATTTGTATTGATCATCTTTCTGATCTTCATCGTCGTCACAACAGGCACCACGAGAGCAATGATCA